CAGCACATCTGGTCCATACCCAGAGACAGTTCACACTTGGCTCAGCAGGGACAGACAGCCCAGCCCATCCTACTCCCATCCTGGTTCTCATGAGCTCCAGTGGGTGCTGGAATCTGGTCAGGTCTGCCACACCCCAGATCTAGTCCACACCCATGCTGAGGGATATTGCAACCATGTCCAACCCAGATCACCATCCCCATCCTGACTTGCGCTCACCAGTGGGAACCATAGCCTAGCCAGGCCTGTTCCCAGCCACAGATCCTGTCTGTACCAGTGGTTGCTCTGATTCAGCTCAGCATATACCATCCCCCTTCTTTGTCTTTGCCATCAGATGCTGCAGCCTGGCCTGGCCCCGCTCACTCCCAGTCTCTCAACTCTTGTTGGCGGGTTTTGCAACCTGGCCCTGCTCAGTCTGTTGCCATCCCTGGCTCATGCAAACCAGTAGGTATGATAGCCTAGCCTGGCATGACCCTCACTCCAGTCTAGCTCCTGCAATTGCCAGAGGGCTAAGGTTTGGCCTGGCTCTGCCCAATCCACCACCCTCCAGAACCAACTCACACTTGCTGACAGGAGGAGCTGCCTTCTCTGACCTGACCAACACCCAGACCTAATCACATGTTCTGGCCCAGCAGGGGGAGTTTCCCAAGTCCCCCACCAGGCCCACTCACTGACCCAGACCTCACATGTGTCAGTAGGAATCAGGCCCTTACCCACCAGTCTTACCCCTCAGACCTGGCCTTTGTATGAGCTGGTGGATGTTGCAATCTTCGGTTTACCTGTGGGTGCTGCAGCCTGGACCAGCCAGGTCTGTTCCCAACTCCAGTACCCTTGAGTGTTGGAGGGTCCCATGGTCAAGCCTAGCTGTCACTATCCCCAGCTTTTTTTTTTTTTTTTTTAAGATTCATTTACTTTTATTGAAAAGTCAAGATACACAGAGAGGAGGAGAGACAGAGACGAAGATCTTCCATCCTACGATTCACTCCCCAAATGACCGCAACGGCCGATGCTGTGCCGATCCGAAGCCAGGAGTCAGGAACTTCCTCCGTGTTCAAGGAAAGGAATTTAGCCACTAGGCCATGGCGCTGGGTCCACTATCCCCAGCTTATAAGCAATCTGGCAAATTGCAGTTCCACAGTGATGGACCCACATATCCCCTACAGAATCTGCCCCCAGACATGTTTCTCATGTGTTGGTCAGTATCATGGCCCAGCTTAACATTACCTGCCCCTTGTTTTGACTCACTGGCAGGCACTGTTATCTAGCCTTGCCAGGTAGGGCCCCAGCCGTAGCTTTAGTGTGCACCAGTGAGTGGTGGTCAGTGGTGATCCATGCTAATTAGCCTAGCACAGACTCCACATGTATGTGCTGGTGAATCAGTCTTAACCAAATTCCCCTCTCCAAACCACTTGGTCTCAGCCACCCCACCTACCTGCAAATACCATGGCCTTGTTGATGGAAGTCCCTCAGGAGTCACTCCGCACCTGCAACATACTGACTGCCTCAGTGGTTTTCCTGCCACACATCTCCTTACCCTCTTCCCTGAACAACCCACAGTCCCTGCACCCAGCAGTGCATGGGTTCGCCAGCCCAGCCTTCCTGTGGGGTGGTGTGCTGGGCTGGAGTTCTGCCTGCCCACTAGGGTCCTGAGCTCCTGGCAAGTGTGCTGACATGGGACCTTATCCCTCTGTCACCAGTACACCAGAACCTCATGTTAACCTAGAGCTCTTCCCTCCCCACCCTCTGCCTGGGGCCAATCACGTGGGGAAATCTCCAGGCTTGTTCCACCAAGTCCCCACATACCCCTGCCAGCCCCTACAAGCCCAGAAAGCAGAAAGGCACCGGGGCAGGTTTTGTTGTTGTTTGTTTTTAATTAAGGTATTTAGCTCAAAGCTAGCGTATTTAGTTAAAAAAAAAAAAGCTAGAGTATTTAGTTCAAAGCTAGGAGAGCTTGCACCCGCAGGTTCACTCCTGACTTGCTGTACTGGCCAGGGCTGAATCAGACTGAAACCAGAAGCCAGCAGCCTCCTTTCGGTGTCCCACAAGTGTACTTGGCCCAAGCACTTGGGTCATGTACTGCTGCCTTCCTGGGTGTATTAGCAGAGTTGGGTTGAAGTGGAGCAATTTTGAACTGGTGTCCGTATGGGATGCTGGTGTCCCAGGCAGTCTACCTACACCACAGTCTCTCATACAAGGTCTTGGATTCTGCAAATCTACTCTCCCAGGCCGTGGCTTCCTGACAGTACCTATCAGAGCATTTACTTCTATTTCAACAAATTGTAACATCAACTTGTCTTTAATGAACTATGATACAGGTATTATATCTGAAAGTCACAGCCAGACTCAAGGTTACTTGCCTTCCCCCCCCTCACTATTTAAGCCTTACAGTTTTATTCAATTACATCTACAGAACATTTCGAGTTCTGAGACCCTTTTCTGCATGTGGATTTTCAGTTCCCTCACCATCTGCTGGGAGACTTTTTGCCTTGGATTCCTTGGTGTTTTAGTATACATAGATTTTCCTCTCGTGCATTTTGTTATCTCATTCAGAATCTAATGCAGATTTTTAAATCATGTAGAAAAGGGCTGGGGATCCTTTTTTTTTTTTTTAAAGATTTATTTGATTGCAAAGTCAGATATACAGAGAGGAGGAGAAACAGAAAGGAAGATCTTCTGCCAGATGGTTCACTCCCCAAGTTGCCGAAATGGCCAGAGTTGAGCCGCTCTGAAGCCAGGAGCCAGGAGCTTCTTCCAGGTCTCCCACGCAGGCGCAGGGTCCCAAAGCTTTGGGCTGTCCTCGACTGCTTTCCCAGGTATCAAGCAGGGAGCTGGATGGGAAGCAGGGCTGCAGGGATTAGAATCAGTGCCCATATGGGATACTGGCGTGCTCAAGGCAAGGACTTTAGCCTCTAGGCCACGGTGTTGGCTCAATCCTTCTTTTAATATGCATATATTTTATTGGGAAGGCAGATTTACAGAGAGGAGACAAAGATCTTCCATCCTCTAGTTCACTCCCCAAATGGCTGCAATGGCAGTGGCTGGGCCAGTCCAAAGACAGGGGTCAGGACCTTCTTCTGAGTCTCCCAAGTGGGTACAGGGTCCCAAGACTTTGAGCCATCCTCTGCTGCTTTCCCAGCAAGCAGGGAAAGCAGGGAGCTGAATGAGAAATGGAGCAGCCAGGACACGAACTGGTATCCATATGGAATCCCAGTGTTTGCAATGGTGGGATTTCCCAATTGAGCCATCATGCTGGGCCCTGGGAGTCCTTTCAATGCACAACCACTGTTCTTAAGAATCCTGGGGCTAAATTCATTTGATTAGCATCAATGTGGTGGAAACAGTTAAGCAAGAACTTTCCAATGCACATGATGTTAAATGATGAAGTTTATTAGATTATATGAACACAACCTTGCTTAGGACGAGTGAATAGGAACAGAGTTTAGAATGAAATCTGGAGATGCAGTTAGTGTGAAATCAAAATAAACTTTAAAAAATCATATCTAAAAAATTTAACAGATCACCTGAGGTGGCTGTGGGCACTGAACACAACAAGCCCCGATAAAGTTGTACAAACTTGGGGAGACTGCAGCTCCCGGCCATGGACTCACCTTCACCTTGCTGTGCCTCAGCTGCTTCGTCTGGGGTCACCTCCAAGGGCTCTTGGCCAGTCCTGCTCCCACCTGCCGCTGCCCTCATTATCAGCTGCTGTGCCAGGAGCTCTCTTCAGCTGGTTTCCCTGCATCCCACCACCCTTCCGTCATGTCCGGAAGTGCGGCTCCTGCTGTTCAAGCAGTTGGAGTATCTTCTAGTGCTTAGGGGACAAAAACCAAATTCTTTCTCTGGATCTTGAAAGCCCTTTATTCTTGACTCACTAAGCTCCCTTCTCTAACCCCTTGCTAACAAACACCATGTTTTCCAGTATCATGACTCTAGCCACGAGTTTGCTGCACTAGGAATACCTTCACCCCCATATCCTGGAGGTACATCCGAGTGCTACCCTGGACTGCTGAGGGGTGCCTAACCCCTTTCTCTGTCTGCTTGGCCCTTGTGGTGCCAAGCTCAAGGGAGGGGACAGGACACTCACTCCAAACCCAGGTGACACGCAGCTCTGACCCCACAACAGTTCCTCAGGGCTGAGGCAACACTGGGATCACCGTGTCCGTGGGCACCTCCTGCAGAGTGAGGCCAACTAGGCGGTGCAAGGACCACCTGGAAACAGGTACATCCACACCCCTCTGGCTGTCAACGAGAACTTCAACCCCAGCAAGAGGAACCGGCTTCATGAGGAACTGGGCCACTTCAAGCTTCTAAAGCTGATTCAGTGTTCATCAGCTTGAAATTACTCAGAAGAGGAAGCACCATACACTGCTAGAGAGACCCTGCTTCTCTTCCGGCTAGGTGAGAGAAAGATGAGTGAAGTGTTGGCTCCACACGGCGTGATCCCAAGGTGGGCAAAGGAAAAGCCAGCTATCACATGGGAGCTCCTTATCCTGGGAAGAGAGAGCCGAAGACAGATCTGGAAATGCAACTTTAATACAAGCACCATGGAATTTTGTCAAGCAAAAATAGTCTTTATTCAAATTTAATGGAAACAGGGGTCACTATACTCTGAAAGACGGGGAAAAATAAAATTAAAAAAAATCCTTTTCTTCTTTTTAATATAAAACAATATAATCACAATACCAGAATATGGAACTCTAGTTTATTTCCTATGGGTTACTGCAGGTATCACTTCTCCCCGACTGTGCTATTCACAATTTTGTTAAGTCCAAAAATAGGAACTCAAAGTGGTAAGAGACTTGAGACTTAGCACTTTCACTAAATGGCATACATCAAAGGGCATTAATTCAAGGGCAAAAATGGTTGAATTCACCATACCTACCTATCTCCAACCTAAAGCCGCCCAGGTACTGAGTGCCCCATGGGAAAAGCCAGGCCTCAAGGCCAAGGCGTCCTGGATATTCTAGCATGGGCCATGAGGAAGGGGGCTTCAAAGAGATCTGTTTTTTTTTTCAGTCGAGCAGGAGGCTTTACTGAGAGGAAGCACTTAGATTTAACAATTATAGACACACCATTAAGGGAGTTAAAAATGTACAGCAGTGACGTGTTCTACTTCAATCACTTGTGCTACGGCTACCAAACATGTACAAAGACTTCTCCGTGGTTCCAGCCGCGGCCGTGACCAGTTAGGACCTGGATCGCGACCGGGAGGGCGACCTGGAAGCAGATCTGGACCGAGATTTGGATCGTGATTGGGTTTTCGAAACGGACTTTGATCGGGAACGTGATTCTGATGGAAGGTTTGCTTTTGGTTTGGAATTGGATCTTGACCTGGACCGGCCCTCCTGCTTGGGGGCAGCATCCTCGCTCTCTCCTTGGCCTTCCCTCTGGCCAGAGTCGGATCTGGCCTGTTCCTGCTCCTTTGACCTCGAGCGGGACGGCGACTTGGACTGGGAGCGCTCGGTGTCTTCCTTCTTCTTCTTGCCGCTGCCCGTCTTGCCGTCCCGCTTGCTGCCTCGCTTCCGGCTCCTCTCGCTCTTGCTGCGGCTGCGGCTGCGGCTACGGCTGCGACTCAGGCTGCGGCTGCGGCTGCGGCTCTCCTCCCTGCTCCGTTTCCTGCCCCTTCTCTTGTCCTTGCTCTTGCTGCGGCTCCTGCTGCGGCTCCTGCTGCCCCCTTTGCTCCGGCTCCGACGGTGGTCACTCTTCTCCTGGCTCCGGCTCCGGCTCCCGCCCCTGTGCGTCCCCTCCCCTTCTCTCCGCTCCGGACTCCTGCTCCTGCTCTTACTCTTACTTTTATGCCGACTGGGACTCTGGCTTTTGGGCTTGCTGGCGCTGTCACTGTCCTGGGCCTTCTCTTCCACCTGATCTTTACTCTTGCTGCGGCTCTGGCCGGCGCTGCGGCTCCTGCTGCGGCTGCCGTCATCTTTGCTGGGGCTCCTGCTTTTCTCCTTCTTGCTGCGGCTGCGGCTCTTGCTGCGGCTGCGGCTCTTACTGCGGCTGCGGCTCTTGCTCCGGGAACGGGACCCTGACCTGAGGGGACACAGCATTTTGGTGAGTCACACGGGCCTAGGATGCATGCTAACCAGGAGAGGAGAGGTGTGTGTGGAGGCGTGCCCCCAAACACAAGGTGTGGCTGGCACTGGCCAGGACTTGGCTTCTGAACTCCCACAATTCCCACCCAGGCCTGGGAAGGTTGCAGTGACAGGGCGCTGCTCACAGGATTACAGTCAAGGTGCGCCTTGTGTGGGGGCTTCCTGCTGGCCTCCTTCGTGCACCAGGTAGACCTACCTGGACCGGGATCTGCTCTTAGAACGACTGCTCTTGCTGCTGCCACTTCGGCTTCTGCTCTTCCGGGAATGTCTGCTTCTGGAGCGAGATCTAGGGGAGAAAAATATTTTGTAATGCTTGATGACAAAAAGCTGGTTAATTTGAGTTGACCAAGATATCCTAATGAAGCAAGTGTGCAGGGGCAGTTTTAGCTGTGGCCAGGCACCTAAGCTCTCCTACGGCCTAGGAGCCCAGAGCCGGCCAGCTGCAAACCATCCACCTGGCTGGGACCCGAGTCCTTCCCCTCAGTGGTGAACCCTTCATTTCCCCATCCCTGTCTTCTCCTTTCAGGGGTTCCAACAGATGCCATTATTGTTCACCTGCTTCCTTAGACCAGAAACCAGAGCCATCTGCTCTCCTCCTCACCCCCCCATGTCCAATGCTCCTCACTCCTGCCTTCTCCATCCACCATTCTGCAGCTGGCTCCCTGAGTGAGCTGCTATTGTTTCATTCCTGGTACCACAAGAGCCTCCTAGCAAGCCTTTCTGCATCGGTGCTGACCCTTTGTTGTCTAGTCACCAGGGAGATGCTGTGAGAAAACACACACTTACTGGGTGTAGCTCTAACTTTAGGGCTTTTTGGAAATGACTGATTCCACTGGAGGGCAGCAAATAAACGAGACAGGTCTAGAACACCTCCTCTCACGTCACAAAGAGGGAAACTCAGAGTCTCTGAGGCTGCTGCCTAGACTCTGCCAAGAGCTTTTACTCCACCCTTCTCCATACCTGCTGCACAGGTCACAAGAAGTTCAGGGGATAAAATGCAGGTTTAATGATATCAACAAGAAAATGATAACGAAGAAAGTGGGACAGTATTTACAAAGCTGCAGTGGGTATCTGGCGTAACAGGTAAGCTGCTGTCTGGGACACCTGCAACTCACCTCACTGTGCCTGCTTCCAGTCCCAGCTCCACTTCGGATGCAGTACCCTGCTAATGCACACCCTGGGAGTGGCAGGTGATGGCTCAATCGAGTCCCTGCCACCTACACAGGAGACCTGAAATTTGTATGCATTTGGGAAGTAAACTAGAGAATGGGAGATCTCAGTCTCTTTATATTTCAAGTTATTAAACAGTACTAAGAAACTGGCCTTCAGGTAACATGTCCACTTGCCACACTGGGACACCTAGATTCAATTCTGGCTCCAGTTTCTCATTGCAGTTTCTTGCTAATATGCACTGCAGGAGGCAGCAGGTAATGGTTCATGTAGTTGGGTTGCGACCACCTGGCTCCCAGCTTGTTAGCTTTCTGTAAGCATCTGGTGAGTTCCGATCTGTCTCCCTGCCTCTTGAATATATTAAAAAATACACAAACAAAAATGTTATGGAGAAAAGAGTGGGTTCTTAGACTAGAGATATAAAAACTTTGCACAATATATAGCTGAACCAAAAAAGAAAAAATATTGGTTACAAAGACACCTGTTGGCAGGCTGGCATTTTATGGAAGGTTAAGATGGCACATGGGACCTCCATCATCCCATACTGGAGTGCAGAGTCCAGTCCTGGCTGCTCTTCTTCCAATACAGCATCTCACTAATGAGCCTGGGAAGGCAGTGAAGGTGCCAAGAGTCTGGGAGGAGAGCTGCATGGAGTTCCTGGTTCCTGGCTGCGGTCTGACCCAGTCCCAGCCTCTGTGGCCGCCTGGGAAGATCACTCTTTCACTCTTTTAAATAAATACATCTTTTAAAAAAACACACACAGACCAAATACTGCTTGGATATTGGGTGACTAATGGAATTCCACACTGTTAATGCAGTTAGGTGAGAATACAGAGCTTTGGTTACTGACACCACTGGGCACACATGCTCAAGTATTTATTCTCAAAAGCGTCATCATTTCTCTCACTTTCAAACGTCCTAGCAACACAAACGTTTTTCTATGTGTGTACATATAAACATGAAAAGAGAAAAAAAAAGGTAAAATACCGTTAAAGTCAGGAAAGTTTACAGTATGTAGGTACTCATGAACTATTCCTTTAACTGTAGTTTGAAAATCAAAGGCAAAGGGAAAGTTAAAAAATCAAAACACTGAAAACAGGAACCAGCTTAAACTCACCCAGTAAACAAAGAAAAATCTGTGCCCAGAAAAATTATTACTAATAGATTACCAACAAATATATAAACATCTAAGATGTCGTTCACACGGATACTAAGCAACAACCTCTTTGGAGGTTGCCGGGGGACAGCTAACATATCTAACATCTCATATTTTGGCTCAGTCTGATGAACTGTATTAAACCTTTTTTTTTTTTTTAAATTTTTGGAAAGATATGATTTTTTACTTATTTGAAAGGCAAAGAGAAGCACAGAGATAGACTTCTATGTGCTGGCTCACTTTCCAGGCGGTCAGGGCAGGGCCTGAGGACTTGCACCATCCTCTGCTGCCCTCCAGGGTGTGTCAGCAGGAAGCCGGACCAGAAGTGGAGCACTATGGGCCTGTAGTATGGGATGCTGGTGGCAAAACACCACTGGCCCTTTACACTGAGCCAACCTTGATATTAAAAATGCAACATGAAGATGTGGCAATATTAAGTGGTGCAACAGGAGATATGAAGTCCTACTAAAGTGTTTTAATATATAAAATCATGCCCTTTCTCTGAGGTCTGAAGATCTAACTTTAAGGTCACAGGAAAGGGAGATGTTCGACTACAAGAGTGTCATGAGCCAACTGTAAACCTGGGAAACCTTCACAACAGATAACGCTGTCTTTGATAACTAAATGCATGGAAGATAAAATGGATTATTCATATGGCAATGATGAAATGTGAAATTAAGAGAAATTTCATCTGAGTGCAAAATGATTTTACATGGGATCCTAGTCTGAACAGAATATAAAGGAAAGAGGAAAGTCAAAATATGAACCAGGAATAAATACTATGGAATCACTGCTAATTTTGCTGTGCAATCATGGCTTTATGTAACAAATCAGAGACACCCAGCAGGCTATCTAGACCTTCCTTAAATGAATGCAGCACAGCCAATTCACATTAGAGCCGGGCCTGGGGGCTGACTGTGCTGGGTTGGGCAGTAGCTCCAGCCAGTGCGAGCTGGGACAGGGGCAAACAGGGCTGGGTCAGGCTGTAGCCCTCGCCAGGAAATGCCAAGGTGAGACGGGCCACAGTACCCACCAAGGCACGTGAGACTGGGGCGGGGCTACAGTGATGAGTTGAGACTCCAATGCTAGGCCACCACTCATGATGGCAAGTGAGAGAACTCGAACTGGGGGTAGGCCAGGCAGGGCTACAACACCTGTTGGCCTACAGGTGAATTGGGTTGGGGGAGAGCCAGCTTGGGCTAACTAACTGTATCCCACTGGTATAGTCAAAAGCCAGAATAAGGGCAAGTGGGCTGGTCTCTGCCGCAGCATGAGCTGGCAAATGCTGAGACTAGGGGTAAGTCCTGTTGAGCTAGACTGCAGAACCACCTGAAGCGCAACATCTGGGGCAGGGTCCAGAGGAGAGGTTGTGGGCTCCTCTCTGATGGGCTGCAACTCCCACTGGTGAACATGAGAACCAGGAAGGGAGCGGGCCTGTCTGGATAGCCAGTGGCACCTGCTGGCATGAGTGTGGGATGGAGGGTGGAGTTGGTTAAGCTGAGTTAGGTTTCAATGCCCATGATGTATACAAGATCTCAAGGCAATGTGGGGCAAATCAGACCAGTCCACTACACATGCTGGCAGACACGGGAACCGGAGTGAGGGATTAGTGGGGGTTACTGGAGGTTGCTCTGACGGGGCTGCAGCTCCCCTTGGGATACATGGGGGCTGAGCATGTGTTGGGCAGGGCTGGGCTGAGTCACGGCACCCACTGGTTTGCTGAGGATGAAGGGCAAAACAAGCTGATCAACTAACCCAGTGAAGCTTGACAGCAAATATCTGGGCTAATGAAGACTTGGAGGTGTACTATGACAGCCAATCAACCTTGGAAGGATTTTCTCATCTATGGAGTAGCGATATCAGCAGCATCTCAGAATTATCAAAACCGTATGAGCAGAATCCTTGGAAAATGTTCCACCATGGGGAACCTGGGATGACATAGAGTGGCAGTTTTCCATCCCCCAGGTAATGTGGTTGGGAGCCTGGGTGTGGCTTCTCCTCTTGTATTCCCCTCTCCATATATACAACAAAAAGAAACTGTGTAAACAATGGTCTCACCCACCACCCCCTGATCCTCAACCCTTCCCACCCTAATCAACCATGTAAACATCATCAAAAATAAAACTTAAAAAACAAACAAACAGGAAAACAAAACAATGCAGCAGGAGGACATCATGAAACAAGACGGACAAAATAAAAATCTGGGGCCAGGGCCTGGTGGCGTACCTTAGCGACTAAAGTCCTCGCCTTGAACGTGCTTGGATCCTATATGGGTGCCGGTTCTAATCCTGGTTACCCTGCTTCCCATCCAGCTCCCTGCTTGTGGCCTGGGAAAGCAGTTGAGGACGGCCCAAAGCCTTGGGACCTCACACCCGCTTGGGAGACATGGAAGAGGTTCCTGGTTCCCAGCTTTGGATTGGCACAGCACCGGCTGTTGTGGTCACTTGGGGAGTGAATCATCGGAAGATCTTCCTCTATCTCTCCTCCTCATGTCTGCCTTTCTAATAAAAACAAATACATCTTAAAAAAAAAAAAATCTGGGGTCTGGCATGGTAGCCGAGTGGCTAAAAGTCCTCGCCTTGCATGTGCCAGGATTCCATGTGGGCACTGATTCATGTCCTGGCCGCTCCACTTTCCTTCTAGTTCCCGCCTGTGGCCTGGGAAAATAGTCAAGAACTGTCCCAGGCCTTGGGACCTTGTGCCCATGTGGGAGACCTGGTAGAAGCTCCTGGCACCTGGCTTCGGATCAGTCAGCTCTGGCCGTTGTGGCCACTTGAGAAGTGAATCATCGAATGGAAGATCTTCCTCTCTGTCTTTCCTCCTCTCTGTATATCTGATTTTCCAATAAAAAAATAAAATAAATCTTTAAAAAAAAAATCTGCTGTAGGGGTGATAAGTTTAAAGGGACTCAGATTTTCGGTGGTGCTTTACGAATCTGAATTATCCAAAACAAAGACAAAGCTTAAAAGTTTCTGAAGACATTCCCCTCCTCTACCTCCTTAGCTGGGCCCGCAGAGGCTCTGCTTCCTCACCCCATCTGCAGCTCCTCTCCTGGTCCCTCCTGTCAGCCCACTTTGAGAGACTCCCAGGACTGCTCTTCTAAGCTGCTAGAAAGGCACTTCCTCCCCTTCTTCTTGCCCACTGTAACTGGATCCTTCAGGGCTCAGTTGGCTCTGCCAACTCCCTAGAGTAGCTGTGCTGTATTCCCTGTGACACACTGTCCCAATGACAACTACATGCTGAAGCGTCCATCTCCTCTACTGCGCTGAGTGTGCTGAGGCCAGGGACTGACGGCTCTTGTTCGCAACCACCTCGTCAGGACTGAACCCATCATCCGGCCTGTGCAGGGCAGCCACCAGAGGAGACAGTTTCCCTCCCCGAGAGCAGCTGGGCTACCTGGGAGAGAACCCAAGGATCAAGTGGCGATGTGTGTCCCCAAACATGTTAGGATCTGGAAGTCAAGATGAAATGTTGAAGCAGCCTGTGGTCTCAGGGAAAGGACGTCACTTCTACTTGTACTCATGACCTCAGAGTTCCAGTGTTACAGATCAGTGTTCAGTTCAAAGTTTTGAGTTACTGAGCCAGATGAGCTCATGCTCGGAGAACTTGGGGAGCGTGTGCATAGCGTATCTATTGCAGCTCACTACTGAAGTTCTGGGGGGACCTCAACTGTACCTGGAATGGCTCCGGCTCCTGGAGTAGGATCGGCGCCGTCGAGAGCCAGGCTTATCTTCAACTAATCTGATTTTTCTGCCATTGACTTCTGTTCCATCCAACTTTTCCAAAGCTCTTTTCATATCGGAGTAAGACACAAATTCAATCACCCCTTCATTCTTGCGTCCCTTGTGGGCATCTGCGTAAGTCACTTCTCCTGCCTGACGCATATAATCCTAAGAAAGAGAAAATGTGGAAGTTATGACATGTTATGCCAAAATACCTAATGTCATCACCACAATTAAAGTTTTTTTTTCCTTTAAGAAAACACCAACTTTCCTTAGAATGAAGTCTTTAATATCACCATCTATCCACCAGCCACTTACTGAAGTTCTTTAAAGTACCAAGCAATTAGGCTAGTGGCAGAGATAATAAATATTCAGTTGCTTCTCTAAAATAAAGTTGCATAATAATAATAAAAGCTTTGTTAACTGTAGTTCTGTTAATTTATAGTAGTAAGTTGTTTGTTTATACAAGGTCATATCACCACCATCTATTCACTGGAAAGGCAGAGTAACAAAACAGAGAGGGACAGAGAGGGAGGAAGGAAGACACAGACATGGACACACGGACACACACACACCTTCTATCTGCTGGTTTATTCCTCAAATGCTTGCCAGGCTGGGCCAAGTTCAAGTGTGGGAGCCTAGAAAGCCATCTGGGTCTCCCACGTGAGTGGCGGGAACCCAAGTACTCGCCTGCCAGCCAGGAGCATGAGTAGCAAGCTGGCTCAGATGTGAAGGGGCCAGGACCCAACCGAGCAACTCCATTACAGAATGCACACACCCCAAGGGGCAGCTTAGTCTGCTGCACCACAATGCAAGCAGTTTTTTTTCACAGCACCCAACTTCCAAACTGCTAACAATAACATCTAACATACCGCATGATAGATAAGTTTTATTAATCTAGCCCTGTTTACAACCACATTAGGAAGATACAATCACCAACCCCATTTTGCAGTTGTGGAAAGTAAAAGAGATACTATCAAGGAACTGTTCAAAGTAATGCAGGTAGGCAATAAGTGAAACAGCCAAAGTCTGCTCAGAGGGGATGAACTCGCTCCCCGCACGCTCAACGCTACGGACAATGCTGCTGGTCCTCAACGCCATCATCGTAGGCACTGCACATTTGCACCTTTAAAATACTAACATGAGCTCTTACATTTGTTTTGCTTTTGCATTTCTTGATCAATACCTAGGAATTACTGCGCCAGGAACCATTGTAGGCTTTTATGTAGAAATTCACTTCCCTTTTCTAATGACCTTGAGTACAAGTTAATATTAACCCCACGTACATGAGCAGCCAGCCTCTGAGCACAGAGAGGGCGCCCATGTACCGGGCTGACTCCAGCTACCTGCCCGTGCGGGCTGTGTGAAGCAATGGTGCTAGGCCCCGTTACCCACATGCGACACAAGGACTGAGCTGCTGGCTCTCGGCTTTGGGCCCCACTGAAGCTAGCTACAGTCAACACTCGGGATATAAACCAGTGAGCAGGAACTCTCTCAAATAAATATAATCCTAAAATCTGAATCCAAAACATATGCTTCTTCTGGTGTAACAATTTTTTGTAATCCACATAAGTGTGGGACATTCAAAAACTTCATGGAATGTATATTATGGGAAGACGTTTTGGTGAATTTCAACATATGTATCATACACACACATATATTAAAGATTTTATTTTATTTTTCCGTGCAGAGTTAGAAAATCTTTCATCTGCTGGTCATTCCCCAGATCCTCACAACAGCCAGGGCTGGGCTGAGCTGCGCCAGGAACCTGGACCTCCATCCGGGTCTCCCACGCTGGTGGCAGAGGCCCAAAGACTCGGTTAGCTCCCACTGTCTTCTCAGCACATTGGCAGACATGAATCGGTGCCAATATGGGATGCTGGCATCATAGGCAGTGGCTTAATCTGCTATGTTACAACACCAGCCTCTCAACTTGTTTAACTCTTTCATAAGTTTATCATGACTAACCTCCTCTCTGCCCCTCGGCAGTGCAGTTAATAAGTTAATTATTTTTTGCAAAGATTTTTATTATTTTTTTATTGGAAAGTCAGATATACAGAGAGGAGGAGAGACAGAGAGGAAGATCTTCCGTCCGATGATTCACTCCCCAAGTGAGCGCAACGGCCAATGCTATGCTGATCTGAAGCCAGGAGCCAGGAACTTCTTCCAGGTCTCCCAAACGGGTGCAGGGTCCCAAAGCTTTGGGCCGTCCTCGACTGCTTTCCCAGGCCACAAGCAGAGAGCTGGATGGGAAGTGGAGCTGCTGGGATTAGAACTGGCGCCAATATTGGATCCCTGGGCGTTCAAGGTGAGGACTTTAGCCGCTAGGCCACGGCGCCAGGCCCAATAAGTTAATTTAATTACAGTATCTTCAGAGCAGCCTTTTCCAGCTCTTGTCCACAATGTTCAATCTCTGACTTTCGGGACACTGTTGTCATCTCTTTAGCAAGCATAATTTTGCCAGCATATGTTCAATAAACTTCTGCTACAATGCTGACAATACACAAGAAGAAGGCCAGACTGGGAATCAAGACCTAGTGCCAGCTTTCTGATAAGAGTTGGTACGTAAAAAATAACACTAGGTATGTGACTTAACTTTTTCTGGATTTCATCTGTGTTTTCTGAAGGTTGGTAAGAACAAATTAAAAAGAAAGAAAGGAAGGAGGGAGGGAGGAATGTAAGTACTTAAGTTAAAACTGCCTTAAAAGAAAAAGTGTCCTTTTGGGCCTGGCCGATAGCCTAGCAGCTAAAAGTCCTGACCTTGCACGTGTCAGGATCCCATATGGGCGCCAATTCTAATCCTGGTGGCTCCACTTCCCATCCAGCTCCCTGCTTGTGGCCTGGGAAGGTAGTTGAGGACAGATCAAAACCTTGGGACGCTGCACTTGCGTGGGAGACCTGGAAGAAGCTCCTGGCACCTGGCTTCGGATCAGCTCAGCTCCAACCTTTGTAGCTGCTTGGGGAGTGAACCACTGGATGGAAGAGCTTCTTTATCTCTCCTACTTTCTGTATATCTGCCTTTCCAGTAAAAATAAATAAATATTTATTTAAAAAAAAGTGTATTCTTAAAAAATAGTCTTTTTGAATAACAAAACAAACTATGTCTAAGATCCCTACATTTTGTTGTTTTTTATGGATTTATTATTTTAAAAATTTATTTGAAAGTTGTTGTTACACAGAGAAGGAGAGAGACAGAAAGAGAATCTTCTACTCCGCAAAAGGCTGCAATAGCCAGGGCTGTGTCAGCTGGAGCCAGGAGCGTCTTCTGGGTCTCCTACTGCAGGTATAGGGGCCCAAGCACTTGGGACCGCTTCCGCTGCTTTCCCAGGTGTATTAGCAGAATAGGAAATGGAGCAGCCAGGTCTTGAACTGACGCCCATATGAGATGCGCAGCAGCTTAACCCATTACGCTGCAATGCCAGCCCCATTAGTTTTCCTAGCTTAACTATACTTCTCAGTTTATTAGAGATAACTTGTTTTAATGAAGAACCAAAACACTGAGAAGTAATGCAGAAACTGAACATCTTTCATTTGTCTTCTTAAGATCACTCAGGTTCAGATACAGCTCAAGGTTTTTCTTTCCTGTTGAGATTTAAGACAAATAACTGAAAAATAAATCTTATACATCAGCCCAGGCCAGATGATCATGTCCACCAATAAGGACCCACATGGGAAGCCGACCTAAATTTCCCTGTCACAGCTAAACACTGTGGTTCCGACCTCTTCCTTGCTACTGAGAACCACAGGGGTGTGTCCCTACAACATCATCTGTGGAGCAGAAGGTCAGACAGCACAGACCAGCTCTTAGAGTGACAGATAAAATTTGTCTCATGTTGTTTGTACTCTTACGGAGTCTGTAACTGGAGAACTTGCAAAGGCTCTGCCAAGGCTTTCCAATAAGCAATATCACTGCAGTCTGTGTGTGCCCAGGTCCACATAAATGTCCCTGCTTCCCGACCTAATCCCAGCCCAATCTTATCCCAGGAAGTTAAAAAGGCTCAAACCTTTAGGTCTTGCCAGCTGCACCGACTTGACAAATTCTCCACTATAAGTCTGTACTCTGTGCGGGTGGGAGGGCCATATTTATCTCGACCACTTCTTCTATAACCATAGCCACCTTAGGAAGGGTCAGAAAGATGTTAACTTCAGTGGAGGAGAAGTGGGGGGGGGACGACACAACACACATTCCCCTTAAATCTATGACTTATCCCCACCCAAACAATAGCACATACATTAACTCTATTCCCACCCTTAATTCCAAACCAATTTATTTAAAAAACTATGAGTTAAACATGAAATTTTAACTTACAAAGTTGTAAGTACATAGTCATTAAATTCATATTTTAAATAAACATGCATAAATTCAAAACCATTAACAGTTTATAAATAAGTGGCCAGGTTACTACAGTTACTGGTGTTACACATAATGATAAAATTTTGTGAAAAATTTAGACAATAAAAGATTTTCAGGCACCTATTTCAGTTTAATCTCATCTGTGTCTAACCCTTGGGATCCGCACCACCCAGGTCTAACGGGGAAAGGCTGCGGTCGTCACGTGGCTTCCGGACTGGGTCAGCCAAGGGCCACCATGGTTCCAACAGCCACACATGGGAAGGGAACCCAAGGTCAGCACATGGAACAGGCAGTCATCTGAGCCCCAAAGGAGTCTCTTAATTAAAACAGTGAGGTCTTTGTTAAATCTATGTTAAAACAATTGCATTACAAGAGAAAAAACACAACACAAACACATCATTAATATGTTTTATAAAGTATTAAATAAATTTGTCATTAATGAAAACTAAACATGATCAAAGATAACAGAAATTCTATACTTAAGCATATAATTTATAAAACAAATGGCTTAAACATCAATACATTTAAATATAACATTAATTAACTACTTTAAAAATCAGCATTTAATAATAAAAACACATTACTGATACAAATATGCCCTCCGAATGCTTACTGCGTCCAGAACCGTAACTGCCATCTCGACGTGGGCCTCGGGCATGCTCAACTATTACTCGTTCACCACAAAGGTCTTTGCCGTTGAGTTCATACACAGCATCATCTGCATCACGCAGATCATCAAACTCCACAAAACCATATCTAGAAGACAGCAAACAAAATCGAGCTCACTACCATTGTGACATCCAGCTTCGCTCACATTCAAGAGACAGCAATGAGGGGCATGCTTAGCAAAGGTTAGGTGGGTTCTGCTGCAGGAGGAGGCGGCCAGCTTAAGGCAGACGCCTGGCTTGCTAACAGGAGACTGGCTAGATACACGGAGAATGTCTTTCTGCTGCCCTTCCCAAAGCTCCCTCCCCTCCCAAGTGGCTGGTAACTACAAAGATGTCCTCAGGGATGCCTGATTTAAGGTGAAATCAGAACAAGAGAACTAACTGTTCTGGAAATCACTAGACCAAAAATGCAGCTATTCACTTCCGCTAGCAGAGGATCGGTGCTTTAACATTTCGGAAAGGACCCTCCCTCCAAATCCTACTCGAGAATATAATTTATAAAACCAAAGGACAAGATTTATAAGATATCTGTAAGAAAAGTTAACAAGGTCCTGCAAATTGTTTTATCGACAGATACATCGATACTTTTGTCTAGCCCAGTTGTCAAAAGTGTAGCTTTGTGACCATGAATTATTCTGAAAAACTGTCTTACTGATCACACCTAATCACAAAGGGAAGGTACGAGCCACCTGTGGGATCCTAACAAGGCTGTGTGCACACATATGCTGCTTAGTGTGGCCGTGCACTAGAACACATTGACACTAAAAACAGAGGTTCATCCAAGCTGCTAACAAGATTAAATCACTGAGAATTCAACCGCTCAGATTCTTCCTTATTGAAGAGTCCCTACGAGCCTCTCCAAGTAAACAGACACTGGTCTACAAAGCGCAGGCCCCAACCTCGGTGGCTCTTCACACCAAAGTGTCTCAAGTGGCACCTACACTCTTGACTGACTCTCACCTTCATCCAAAAAAAATGGTAATGGAGCAGATCGGTGCTGTGGCATGGCAAGGAAAGCTGCCAGTCTGCAGTGCCTGTGTCTCATATGGGAGCTTGTTCCAGTCCCAGCTGCTCCATTTCCATTTCAGCTCCCTGCTAGGAAAAGCAGTGGAAGACGGCCTAATTGTGGGATACCCAAAAGAAATGTCTGGTAGAGGCTGGCACAATCACTCAATTGACTAATCCTCCCCTTTCAAGTGCCAGGATCCCATAAGGGCATGTTCAAGTCCTGGCTGCGCCACTTCCCATCCAGCTCCCTGCTTGCGGCCTGGGAGAGCAGCGGAGAACAGCCCAAAGCCTTGGGACCCTGCATCTGCGTGGGAGACCCGGAGTAAGTTTCTAGCTTTGGATTAGCTCCGCTTGTTGTTGCAGTCATTTGGGGAGTGAAACAGTGGCTAGAATATCCCTCTTTTTGTAAATCTGACTTTCCAAGAAAAAAATAAACAAAAACAAACAAACAAACAAACAAACAAAGAAGAAGAAAAAGCTGCCAGCTTTGAACAGGTCCAGCTCTGGCCACTGGCCATGTCGGGGAGTGAACCAGAGGTTGAAAGATTTTCTCTCTCCTTGCTAACTTATCTTTCAAATAAATACATATTAAAACAGACACAGGTGTTTTGGAGTAACACAAACAATTCAGAAATTCACAAACCTGCTCAATGAATAGGCTCCGAGGCCCCACCCCGCACAGGCAGGCACAGCTGAGCAGCATCTGTCAGGGCTATTCTGAAGCTGCTCTGAGTTGACAAGGAAGGTGAAGCCTCTCCAAGCCACTGATTTTCAGTCTCTCACAATATTTGAAAATCATCAGGAAAGCTATATTATTATTTTCAAATACAAAAATTAAAGGGCAAGAAAGCCATTTTCTCCTTTGGCTTATTTTTAATAGACTGGAAAATAGGAGAAAAGTGCCTCCCTTTGCTTTGCTGTGAAGCTCAACCTGAACCTGCTCTGTCCACAGCATCACCTTTCCTGGCACCATGTGAAGCAACAAGGGGATGAGGGATGAGCGAGACCGTGCCATGGCACGACGCACTGGTCCCTCCTGTTAAAGAGGCAGCTTGCCATCATTCTTAGTGTTATGTCAGAATGACAGCACTGACTCCTAAGGACTAAACAAATAAATCACAGGAAAACCCAAACTGGCTTCTTTAAAATACTTAAGCGCTGTAACTGCTTGCGGGGAGAAGTGAGACCCAAATTCAAAGCCTTACTCTGCAGGGTAACTGAAACAGCCTGGCTATCGACGAGGCCTAGGGAGGCCTTCATCAGACTCACACGGAATGCATTATCCTCTCCTCAAAGATCAGCCTGCGCATGTCCATCCCGACACAAGGTGTACACGTGCAATTCACTTTGGACTTTCAGAGAAAGCAAAGACACTGTTCAGTGGAGGCACATTATTTTGCAATAAAAATGCCCAAACTCATCTTTCTTTGTAAGTTGAGCTGAACCAAAGCAAATTTTGTCAGTAAGACTCTTACCAAGTTGCAGGGGCAATTGGTGATGTTAGAAGAAAATGGCCTACGTAGCCCCTTGATAGTACTCACTTCTAGAAAGTTCCAGCAGGGGCCAGCACTGTTGTATAGCCAGTTAAACCTCTGCCTGTGATGCTGACATCCCATATGGGCGCCACAGTTCAAGACACTTCTGATCCTGCTCTCTGCTAATGCACCTGGGAAAGGAGCAGAGGAGGAAGCAGCCATGTAGGAGACCTGGAAGAAGCTCTGGGCTGCCGGCTTCAGCCTGACCCAGCCTTAGCTCCTGCAGCCATTTCGGAGGGGGAATGAACCCAGAGGGAAGATCCCCAAATCCCCTTAACTCTGCCTTGTAAACAAATAAAGAAGAAAAGATCCCTGAAAAAATTAATGGAGGCTCCACAAACGTGTCACTTCGTAGACAATTTTTGGTGGTGTGGAATGTGGGGGATAAGTATCCAAGTTACTTAATAAGTAATAGCTGACCTGAAATTCAATTTAACTTTTAGGAAAATTTTGGCTGTTCTTCTAAGTCACAAAATCTATCTGGAAATATTTCTAAGTGCAGACCAAGGACCAAACTGAGAGTTCAACTATCACTTGTTTCTGCCACTAACATGATGGGTAGTGGAAAGATTAAAACATACCACACTCTACCTGGCAAGGATTCTTTTTCTGACAGTAAAGCAAATTCCAGGTGAATCCAGCTGCTTTTATTAAATTATTGTCTAGTTAATCTGCTTTCCTTGAAGAAAGGCTATTTGGATCAAGAAATAAGAGATCCTCAAATAAAGAGGAAGATTAGATAATTAACTACAAAATGTTACCTAACACTAAAGAATAATCTCTATGAACTAGACAATGTTATCTTAATATTCACAGCACCTTGGAGGCAGTTACTATCCCCATTTTACAGATCTAAGTAGACTGAGGAACTGGGTGTTAACCTGCATGACTAAACCTTAGAGTACTCGAAGCTGAGTCTAACCTAAGGGCTCAAACTCAGGACTATTTAGCCTGGAGAACTAAGAACCAGCCCCAGACAGGCCAGGTGGTGCAGCAGTGAGACCCTGGGAAACCCACATCCCACACGGAGTGCCGGGCATCATTTCCTGACTCTATCCAATGTGGCTTCTTGCTAATGTGGATCCTCAGAGGCAGCACACCACGGTTCCAGTTCCTGGGTCCCTGCCACCCATGCTCCTGGTTCCTAGCTTTGACCTGGACTAGCTCCAGCTAGTGCAGGCAGCCTCTCGGGGGCTGAGCCACCGGATGGGAGATCCCTCTCTGTCACTCTGTCTTTCAAACAAAGGAAAGGAACCAGCCTGGCACCATGAAAAGCAACGTATTAAACAAAATATTTAAATAATTATTTTTCTTTTAAGTTTATTCATGAGATGTGGGAACTATATTAAATTAAATTAAATGTAAGGTATCATCTAAGATCAAAAGTATCAGACTAGATATTTTAAAAAATAACATTCCTTTGGCTTAACAATGAATAATTTAGTCCTGGGGTAAGATGGTGACTTTTTTAGAACACAGCAGTGACAGACAGGGGAAATTTAACTTTTCATTGTCTAAAATATCTTTATGTATGGAGTCCCAATTTTGATTTTATTGAAACATTTTAACTGGATTAAGTTTTAGTGGCTTCAACAAAGTTAAAGCTTCTTAGTAAGTTACTTCTTAGTAAGCTGCACTAGTCTTTTGAAATTAATCTAAACATTCCCTTTTGTTCTTCCCTTGGCAGCAAATAACATGATGCTAATCTTTCTCTCCAAAGGTACTTTTGATTCTTGGTCAAAGGGGGAATATATAATACACACATGCACATATACCCTGCTGTGTGTGTGTGCGTGCGTGCATATATGTATGCCATAGGTATGCATCTTTGCGTCATCTGTGAATAAGCCACACATAACACAACCCAAGAGATACGTTTCTCTAATTCTAACCTACAGACACCTTTTTTCTGCTGTTAAAAACAAACATCTTACAATAATTTCAGTATGAGAATGAAGATGAAGGAATTCAGGAGAATGAATCTAAGACAAATTTTTAAGATCCTTCTCTACCAGGTAGATAAAAATACAACAAGCAGCCCTTCCATCTGCCTCATCCTGCTCTGACGCTCCATCTTCCCATCTTTCTTCTATCCTGTGTGAAAAAAGAGTAGTCTGGCTGCTAAATATACAACATTCCTCAATTAAAAAACAAACAAAACTCATTTCTTCACCTCTCTACCACTGCCTGTGCCCTTAAAAAAACTGGACACCAATGACTCTTACAAGTGTAGTCAAGTATCTGGACACCACCACCAAGCCAGGCTGGGTTACATGGGCTGTTCTAAATGCTAGTCCACTCCTGTCCCTGTGCCAATGCACTAGTCTTCCTCACACAACAGATGGTGGACTGCTCAGGTTATCAGAGACCCCTGAAAAGGCAGAGCTACAATGATGTGTTTTTGAAACTAATGCACTCCAAGACTTCGCCTTTAGAAATATTAACCATGCTTTCTCCCCAAGAGTTACTGCCTGTGAACTCACACTACCAAACTATACCAAGGGGCCCAGACACCAGGAAGCCTGCCCTTTTCTTGGCACATTCTACTCCCAAGAATGTGGAACAAATGTGCCCTTCTCAGAATGGAGCAGGTTCACCTGCCTGAACAGCCAGGAGCAAGTACAGGACTTGTTGTGCAGACAGGCTCATCAGTGGCTAACTGGGCAGGACGTGCCTAACGGGGATCCCGACACCAGAACCTGCTGGGGTGGACACGAGCAGCAGGGACAGCAAGCCTCCATGCGTGTGATTGCGGTCACCCACCAACGCAGCTTACCGAGGGGCATTCCTTGCATATTCTCTGTGTAAGAAAAATGTGCCCCTTTCCACAGTGGATCTCTGCTCACCTTTGTCCTAAAACTGTGCCACATGCTTTTTCTTTGTATGTGGACATGACAGTCCTCAGCCAACCATCAGCAGGATGTGTTTTGTTTTCCCAATGTGGTGAGCCATTCCCACATTCACTCATTTTTCTGGTAAGAACCGAACCTCTCCATGGCTGGTCAGGATTAGGGATGTTGCTGTAGCCAAGGAAAAATGTTCATCTGTTGAAGTTAACCCACGGGGTGGCTTGAACCCTCAATCTAGAATCAGTAGCACTGTATTGTAAGCGCAGGGCCCTTACACCTGCCCTGAAAGAAATGGCATTCAGTGAAACAGGATTCAAATAGCTTTCTGTCAAAGCACTTGGTGTTGGTCTTACACTTCAACTTGGTCTTGGGGGGTTAAAAACCAGTTAGGACACCTGGATGGGGTGGTAATAAAAAAGTTAATTCTTATGTCTGCATAAGGCCAGTGCTCAGAAAATCACAGAAAGAATTTGGAAACCAATTCCCGTGCTCAGGTGAGGCCACTGCAGTGAATGCCAAGAGAATAATGTCTCTGATCCCAGAGGTTTGCAACTCTTCAGGGACGTGCAGGGAATCAACCATGGCCAGTGACTGCGCAGGACCAGTGACTAGGGCTGCAAGCTGCCTGTGCACGGATCTGGGGTTGTTGAGAACCCACTGCTAGAAGCTGCTGACCCCCGGGGCAGGTTCCTGAGACCCTCTCCTACACTACGATGGGAGGGAGGCCACCTGGGCACTCTGGCCTCCCTTTCTTGGTCTCAGAGGAGAAGGTGGATGACTTACCCGTGCTCACTGAGTGGCAGAGCTGGGGTGCGACTTCAGGGCTCACCATTAGCCAGTCTGGGGCTCTTTTCACGTCGGCAAACTGGCAGCTCCGCACACCAACAGCTCTCTGATTAGAGCTAGTGTGGATTCCTGGTCTGCACACGTTGGCCACAGCTCAGTCTGCACTTGATTTTTCCCCACCTTCAAAGAAGAAAACCTACCTCATGACTTCTCTCTTCTGGGTCCCCTGAGCATCTAACTCACTCGAAACAACCTTGTCATCTCTTTAGACGACTCCTCTCTGGTTGTGTACTGTGACTACCAGCAAGTTCCGGTTTGCTCATTTTGCTGGGTTTCAGGACTGAGCCTACCTTCCTGATCAGCTGACATGATTCGAGGGTGTAGCTATTTTTACTTAGTCAACTTGTTTCTTTAGCAGGGAAAGTCAGCTAAGTCGTTCTTTGGCTTAGCGATCTAGAATGACTCTATACAATCTTTTAAAGATCATTCTTTGAACCTGGACCAGCCTGACTGCATTAGGGAAACCATGCCAATCTTTTCCCATGTCTGAGTTCACCTCTTTTCACAAAGTTCTAGAAACTTGCCTGACTTCAATCATTTTAGCACTTCAATTTTATGCTTTATGTGCATTTCAAGCCTTGTTCTTGTTCTTTGTGCTTATCTTCTCATTTGACTATTAACTCTTTAATAACAAAGGTGTTGGGTATTTAGCATACAGCTTGGCATAAGGTAAAATAATTTATCCATAATATTTCGTTGATTTCCTCATTTCAAACGATGATGATTATTATTATTATTATTCCCAATTTACGAAGAGAAAACTGAGGTTTGGAGAAATTTAAACAAGTTGCTTTTTGCAAGAAGCTCAAAGGTGGTAGAGCTGGATTTGAACTCAGATCCACGATTCTAAGCCCCAGGTTCCATAACCTTTCCACGGTCCTGAGCACTCTTTTTTTCATTCGGTAAATGCTGTGGCTTGACTTAGTGGTACTCTAACCTCAGAGAAGCCATGCTGAAGTTTTTTGATACAGCGGGTGAAGACTCCAGGGAAAAAAGAAATTGCTCTTGGGGCAGGGTGGAGCACCTCTAAGCTGGGGGTATGTGACAACCAGGTTACTTTCACTCTTGTCTTTTGGTTCCCATTAGCCAGTGTCAGCCATCTGGTCCTTCCGAAAACATGTGTGGGTTCAGAACATAACAGACTAGAAGAATAGAGGAAAAATAAGATTATTCTGTGCAGTCCCCATTCTGGAGGTCCCATATCAACCCCTAAAGTCTGACTTTGCCTCTAATGCTCGGCAAAACTTAGACCAGCATAGAGAAGATAAGAGTTGAACCTAGACATGGTGGATGTGGATGGATATTGACAACATCACACACATAAGGATGCATTTGATTGGTTTCGTAAGAAATGGCGACTGGAACCAAAACAATATAAGCATGAATGGTGGAGAAAGATGGGTCAGAAATCAAAACACTGGAAGCTTTTCAGACTTGCAACTACACCAGGATTACAGCAGCAACCAGAGAAGTACCTTGCAGACAAAAGGCATCTAAATCTGATTCAGTTCTTAATTTTAATTAATTCCAACCAACTATTAACACATTGAATCCAGCCGGTTAGGACTCCTTCGTTTCAGTGACTTTTCCAAGTCTTACTATGCTATCAAGCATGATGCTAAGTACTTTGTACTTATACTCAGTCTTCACGACTCTGAGAATTACTGTTACGTCCCAGAACACTTAAAGCAGTTGAGTAGCTTGTCAAGGTTACCTAAACATCTAAACTTTTTCAAACCCAGGAGCTAACCTAAAACCTGCATCTTACCACCAGGATCTGTTGTCTCCTAGTCTGTGGTTGGAGAACCACAAGCTCTGGGCAAAGAAAACCAGTTGTATCTGACAAATGTTGATGTGGCTATTAGCATCCTATGGGAAATACTCAATGACAAGAAAGTGGCATTTCTGCATTCCATTTTGCTAGTGCTATTAAGTTGGGACTATTTAGTCCAAATTACTAGTGGAAACCAATTATTCGCAAACTTGCATCTCTCAGCAAATGAATTAGCGGAAAAATTCATAACCTCCCTTGCTCATGAAGTAATTAATTCTTTGGAAAACAAACCACAGAAAACCTCTAATGATGAGAAACAATCAAATTTAATCCCAGGGCAATGAGTCTATACTGCAGATATTGGTCTATCTCTAAAGATATAGTCACAAGTTGGAGTAAGGAAAATAGAGTAAAATGATTATCCTAAAAATTAACAAATAAAATAACATTTTTTGCAAAATAGGAAGCAGAAACGAATCTGTTTAAAACTGAACTGTTGGGGCAGGTGCAGTGGTATCGCAGGCTAATCCTGACTGTGGGGCCAGCATTCCATATGGGTGCCAGTGTAAGTCATGGCTGTTCCATTTCTGATTCATTTCCCTGCTAAGGGCCTAGGAAAGTAGCAGAGGATGGTCCAAGTCTTGGATCCTGCACCCACTTGAGAAAATCAGAAGAAGCTCCTGGCTCCCAACTTTAGATCGTTCTAGTTTGGGGAGTAAATCAGGGAATGGAATGTCTGTATCTCTCCCTCTGTAACACTTTCAAGTAAAATATATAAATCTTAAAGTGAAATATCTTGCTCCTTAACTGTTCCATGAACCTATTGGCTGATTTGTTTCAACTATCCCAGGTGAACTGTTCACTACACTGTTTCATTTATCCTAAGCTGCTGTCATATTCCTATTCTATAAAATAGAAAGCTTGTAAATAGCTTGTGCATCAAACTAGCATTATTAAAACTCACCCACTGAAATTTCTTTCTTTTTAAAAAATAATCATACCTGGGCCCAGTGGCTAAATGCTTGCCTTGCATGCCCAGGATCCCATATGGGCACCGGTTTGTGTCCCGGCTGCTCCACTTCCCATTCAGCTTCCTGCTTGTGGCCTGGGAGAGCACTCAATGATGGCCCTAAGCCATGGGGCCCTGCAAGAGGTCCCAAGAGGAGAACCAAAAGAGGCTTCTGGCTTCTGATCGGCTCAGTTCTAGCTGCTGTGGTCACTTGGGGAATGAACCAGCGGATGGACAGAAGCTCTTTTTCTATCTCTTCTGCTCTCCCTGTATGTCTGTGTTTCCAAAAAAAATAAACACATCTTTAAAAAAATAATAATTACCATACCTACATCTGATTTTCATCTCACAAAAAAAGGAAGTCAACTATTCTCTAATGACACTAAAGTTCATGAAACCTCAAGTATAAATAAAAGAAAAACCAATTTATAATAGAACTCTTGGGAATTTCTTCATGTTGTTCCTATCATATGAAATGAAACTTAAAATGCAGCATACAGCACTACCTGTTTCCACCCAAAGACAAAAACTGAAGCCAGTTGACTTACCTCCAGACCAACACACTGAATAGGCTGCCAGGTGCTAAAGCCTCAGAAAGGTGACGCCTCTGGGACCAGCTCGTCTGTTCTGCATCCCTCACAGCCACCCCTGCCCCTGGGGTGCGGTCGGAGCCTCCTTCATTCTCAGTTCTGGTTAAGATGCTACTCCTCACACTATTTCTTCAGGATGTCCTTCCCTTGAGATGGGCCATTTCATGAATTAAAATAGGGGAACAGGTTTTCAGTCTGCATGCAATACTCCTTCCTGTAGGGTCCCTCCTCGTGAAGGCCTCCCTCTGGCACACAGTCCTAAAAGGAAGACAGGTGGGGCACCTGGTGTGTTTTGAGTATTTCCCTGGGTGTTACCTGCAGCTCCAGGGCCTGTGGCCCGGAAGGTCACTGCAGCACTCCCCTAACAGGGGCTTACACATCCCCAGCACACTTGCATGCCTCACCTCCTGGGCACAGCCTGAGGAGCAGGAGAACAGGACTCACACAATCCAACCACAGCCAGCTCCCACAGAGCGGGTACCATCTCAGAGCTCTTCAAACAGCAGCCTGAGCAGGGACACCAAGGGTCTCCACCCAGGGACATCATAAAAAGTACCAGCTGTTCCACTTTTGACAGCAATCTGCTAGCTTGCTAGAAGTTTCTGCAGAGACTAAAGGCTGAACAAGTTAGGAAACAGACTACCCTTGATTGTTGGGCTAAGCTACCTGGAAACAGTGACTGTCACTGCCCATGCTGGTATGTGAATAAAGAAGTTAAGTTTCTAGAGTCCTCAGAGTTTTGTAACCCTGGAAGTCATTTCATTGCTCCAATCCTCAGTTTCCCCAGTCAGCAGCACCTGACTGATACACTCAGCTGACAACAAAATCATACCAATACATTCTGCAATATTTGCTACAGTTTCAAGATTTCACTTTTAGCTAACAAATTTACACATGCCATTACTGGGGGGGGGGGCTGGTGCAATGGCTCAATTGGCTAATCCTTCCCCCTGTATGGGCTGGCATCCATATAGGTGCTGGTTTGTGCCCTAGCTGTTTGATTTTCCCTTCCAGCTCCCTGCTTGTGGCGCGGGAAAGCAGTCGAGGGTGGCCCAAAGCCTTGGGACCCTGTACCCGCAAGGGACACCCGGAAGAGCTCCTGGGACCAGATCAGCTTAGCTCTGGCCACTGCAGTCACTTATGGAGTGGACCAGCAGATGGAAGACTTTTCTATCTGTGTGTCCTCTCTGTAAATCTGAACAAGTAAAAATTAACAAATCTTAAAAAAAAAAATAAAAATACCAATTCCTTTAAAAACCAGTAACGGGGGCTGGAACAGTGGTTAAACTGGTTAATTCTCCACCTGTAAGCGCCAGCATTCCACATGGGAAACGGTGGAATTCCACATGCTCCACTTCCCATCCAGCTCCATTTCCTGGCCTGGGAAAGCAGTGGAAGATGCCCCCAGCCTCTGGGCTCCTGGCTCCTAGGCTTAGGTTGGTGCTCCAGCCGTTGTGAACACTTGGGGAGTGAACCAGAGGATGGAAGATGAGTATCTTTGTTTATTTCTCTTTTTCAAGTAAAATAAGTCTTTAAAAAAAGATACTAAGACCTCACCCATATGAAAAGGATTGATAACACCGCTGTTTGTTTCTACTTTGTTTTTTACAGTCTTCAATGAACCTGTATTTATCTTCTAATCCATCAAAGAAGTTTCTAAGAAAAGTTCTTAGATCCGTTAAGCATGATAGGTTGAATGAGCCTCAAACAATGTAATATCTTTATATGTAACTTTATTTTAATAAAAAGCCTATAATGGTCAGAAAAAAAAAAACTTTAAAGGGTAGTATAAAGCTCAAAAAAGAGGAAACCCTCACATAACAGGTGCAAACAATGTTGTCTAGAAGCCATGGAAATCAATACCTAGCAAAAAAAAACCTTAAAATTGAGTATATTTGGATTCAAAGTCCACTTTCAGGAATCTGTCCTAAGGTGATAATACAAACTTCATCCAAAGATTTATGTAAGAATATTCAGCAATGTTAAAATACATGTATTGGTGAAAAACTAGGTAACTTGCCTTGCAACATCATTTAAATTATGGGTGACAGCATTATGGTTGGAAATAAATATGACAAAGCATAAGATTGGGCTGTTAGAAATGGGCAGGGTAAGGAAAAAATAAATAAATAAACAGGCAGGTTACAAAACACTGCGTGAAAAGGGGCCAAATCAAGGACCCAAATGCAGATAAGGTCACTTTTAACTTTCTGTCCACTATATTAAAAAGTGTTTACAAACACCTAAACATTTTTACAACCAGAAATAAATATGTACTACTTTGAAATGTTAAAATACAAATAAAGAATGGTTCTTTAATTTTAACCATGTAGAAACAAAACACTTCTTTGTCCAAAACTTAGGTAACCATAGAATGAATCCAGAACCAAATGCTTTGCTGAGACTCAAGCAGCTGGTCTGTTGGTTCACACAGGCCTTCCTGCTCACACTGGCAGCACGGCCTAGGAACCGTTGGGGGGAGGGGCCCTTAGGGCAAGAGTTTGCTCTTGCTGTGTAATTCCTGTCAGTCATTAATTTCATTATCATAAAATGATAACGTATTTATCTGTCATTTGATGGTGGGTGAAAATAATCTCCCACGTGATTAAGAATAAAACTAACCAGAAATCAACAACCCAGAACATTAAATGAACCATATGCCCTTTAAAGGACAATGAAGGCAGAGACAAGTTCCCATCAGGGATCCATCCAGAAGATCCCAGGTAGGTGTTCTGCAACACGCAGCCCCTCCCAGGAGCTCTGAGGACCGACAGCGCGCTCTGTGAGCAGACACACATAGAACGACTGGGCTCTGAAAAGAGACTTGAACTACATTTTCAAAATATTACGGTGCATTCTACTTGTAGGGATTTAAAACAAGAGTGGAAACAAAAATTTCTTTTAGTAACACAAGTAAAAAAAATTAAAAGGGTGAAAACATCCCCTGAAAATTTAATTTACAATTTCACTATATAATGAATTGGGATCTGGAATTCCCAGCCCCGTTTCCACGGAGTGTTTAAAGCTGTGAGAGAAGATGCAAGAGCCCCTCAGATCCGTGGGCCCAGTCCCCAGGCCTGAAATGGTCTGAGGGCCAACGCAGCTGCTCAAGCCAGGTTCCCCGTGTGTGGCTGTGGTGGGGACCCAGTCTCTGAGGGCCTGCAGGAGACTGAAGCCAGGGAACTCAATGTGGGATGCAGACCCAACCCCAACCAGTACCTTACCCATGCGGGGCACCTGCACCACCTTCAAAATTTGATGACTTTAACCCAAGTGAAAACAACAAACTTCCAAGATTTGGACTTTCATCTCTTCCACTAACTAGACAGGTAAAATAATCTTGGGATGCGATATCTTATTCATGAACTAAAAACCACAGACAACAACCACACCTCTGACTGAAGTCACCAGATTTTGTGAGGAAAGATAAAGTGCACTTGATGGGAAACATCTCAGAGTCCTCCTCGCCCTGCTGAGGGCTCTTGCTAGAATCAGTGCTGCAGGCACTGCACCTGTTACCTCTTCTTGCGTCTGCAGAGGCCACAGAATCCTCTCCCCGCCACTGGGCCGCCTCTGCAGAGCCCACCTGCTTCTTCATGTGGTCCCCTTTCTATTATGCAGGTATTTCATGCTCTATTTAGTTAATTCTGAACTTCACCCACACTCCTCAGCCTAACAGATCTGTTATCACCCCTGAACAAACCTGAACTCTCGGCAGTTCCACAAGCTGCCATTCATTCAGAATCCACATTAATGACTACAATCCAAGTGTGTTCAAAGATGCTTCTCAGCAGGAGCTCCCCTTGTCTGGACCACCAGCTGTGAGGGCAAGGCCAGGAGCCCCCTTTCTCTGCCTACTCCGCCCCCTCACCTGCCAGCCACGTCTTTACTCCTGGTCCTCTTCTCAGGAGTATCTTTCCTCTGCAACCATTCCTGAATGTTCCCAGGAGGTCGGAGTGTGTGCCATTATCAACTGTCTTCAAATCCCCAAAATGAATGACTCC